CGGGGGGGGGGGGGGGGAGAGGAAGAGCCCTCCCCCCGGTCCTAGTGCTCCTCACCTTTGCCTCCCCCGGGTTACATCTTGAGCTCTGCGCTGATCACGAAAATTTATAATGTGTCATATCGTGCTGGGGAATGGTTATTTCTTCTCCACATGGTAATTATCCCTAAGGCCTAGGAGATATTCGGCAATCCGGAGAGAAAGAGGGCTGTTGTACTACGCTTGCAACAGTTCTCACTGTCAACAGACTTACCCCTACCAGCGTAGTACCTCCATGTTGAAGCTGCCCTACGTACCGTGCCCTGCCTATGGTACCTACATACATGTACGTTTTTACTAGGTGATATTGATATTTGACCCATCAAAATTCAACGTCCCCCCTTCCATGGGCCACGGGACGATCCCGAGCGAATTCAAATCTCCTCCTTCTTCCGTAGCCAGAACTTAGAAGGATGTTCCGCCCCGGTTTAGGAAGAAGTGGACAATGTTTCCTACCTCGTACCGGTGCAGCGGCGGGGAGCGAAATATGTAGAATTACACCCCAAAATACGAGAACCACTCAGTACTCAGTTAACCAAGACAGTCAATCTCCCTCGCCCCCCGCCGCGCGGCACTCGATGTTGTAATCAGAGGTTCTTTGTGGAGAGAGGAGAGGTTAGTATTAGCGAAACAGAAAACAAGAGGCCGGAGGCGTGCAAAACGGAGAAAATGTGGGGTGCGTTTCTTTGCATTCCTGGCTGCTTACTCTGCACTTTCCGTCCTTTTCTTTTCTTCTTTCTCGTTTATTGGGCTAGCGCTGGGCTGGCGAGCTGGGGCTTATGATGATTACCTTTCTTACATACATATCTACCACCCCCCGGCCGGGCGTTTACTTGTGTATTTCCCTTTCCCCGCGCCCTTTTTGGGTGTTTACGTATGGGAGACGAGAGAGTTTCAATGAGGTGTTGCAGCAGTTGACCTGCGTGCTGGCCGGATTCGTTCGTGTGTTTGGTGCATGTCACGAGTCCAACTGGCTGGCTGGCCGTGGTGAGTTATCCACAGACAGAACAGGCAGGGCGAGTGATCACGACTGCGGATGCTGCTCTGGTTGGAACGAAACACGGCATAGCTACATAGGCATAGCTAGGCATAGTTACAGCTACATCCTACATACATACATACATACCATACATACATCATCGCCAACAAAAACAACAACAGCAACAAAAAACAACGAACGACACAGCGATGACTGAGTGAGTAAGGCTGGCGAAATGACGCTGACTCCTCCTGCTCCTTTGCTCTTCCTACTCCTCCTTCCCAGACCTGTAAGATGAAGGGGCGGGGAAAGGAAATGGGGTAGATTTGTTTGCAGCCCGTCTGCTTGCTCCGTGGGCCTATAGCTAAAAAGGATCACTCAGATGTTCGACGTGATGAGGCGGCTAGCTCTATTCCCTGTGCGATGCCATCCATCGTGGACCCGTGGTTGCCTTGAGGACTATGTGGTAGCGCTGTATAATTTTGGCTACATAGTAGTAGTAGTTACAGAGCAGATCATCAGAAACAACGTCCAATAGACCTATATTACATCGTGAGGCGATGAATGGCATAGGTAGGTCCCCCTCCCGCGCGGTGAGATATGTGTAACTCCCCATAACTTGTCCAAGATAGAGCTGTCGATGGACTGATGGATAGTATTTACCCAGAGCTACCCTAGTAGGCAGAACACGAGAGAGAGCTCTAGAGAATTAAAGAGAGAGCATATATGGGAGAAAACCTGGGAGAAATTAAGCCCGTTTGGTAACAGATTACCCAATGAGGACCCCGCACCGCGGCCTGAGTGGAGTATCTGCATTTTGAGGCGAAGGATATTTGCATCCCAAATGGCTCCCCGTGATATGAGTGTGGATCGGTTGAATTGTTTGGTATCGTATCGTTTGATAGTCACGACATCTCACTCGGATACAAGGATGTTTTTCTGAGGCCTGGGGTAAGCGATAGCTTCTCCACGCCTCAGGCTAGAGGCCCTTGCTCCACAGCAGCAACGCCCCCTCCGATCCCGCGCGACTCCGGGTAATCCGCTTATGCATCAACAACGAAGCACAGAAAAATGAACTAAGAACACCATATGCACAGATCGATGGGTCCCGTCCATCGTAGGCTGTAGAAATGGAAGAGAGGAGCAATTGTGGAGTAGAGCCGACCAAACAATCTCTGACACGAATGAAAAAGCAAGATTTTGCGTGAGGTATATATCGTAGCTGCCTCTGGACGCTTTGAGAAAGAAAGGAAAAACATCCTCTCTCGTCGGTGGATAAACTGGTCCCTACCGGATCATGGAAACGCTCATCAGCGCATACACACTGGATCCTCACAATTTGGTAAGTAGCCTGTTTCATTTGTGTTTATTAGAAAAAAGGCTGTTATAGAAAGAATTCAAGTTGCGGTAATTGATAGCATGAGATAATAGGGCCATTGAAGATCATCTGCTCTATCCGACATGCGAGTGATTTGTCATGAATATAGGACGTCCCCACAAAAGCAAAAAGCCAGTTTAGCCTATAGAAAGTGGGGTTATATCTGCAAGACGAGTGATAATATGTGACGTATTCGACTTTCGAAAATCCTTCAAACATGGGGGGCCTGTCAATTGGTGTACTACTTCCCTGGACAAAGTTTAAGATCTCGCTAAAATATTTTCCGGAGTCCCCGGAAAAAAATTGACCCATACCCGGTACCGGTTGATCAATTGAGGTGAGGTGGCTTGTGCGTATTTAGCCAATCAAACCGGGCACCCGCTGTACGAAGATCAAGGCTAATTCGCGAGACAAGTTAGACTCTTTGTCATCTATGTATATGTACATAGCTGTTGGGTATTCCCGGAACGCTTGGCCCCGGCAAAGGGAGGGGCAAATATACAGCGAGAGACAGAAACAAGGGTCTAAAACAGGGTTGGTATGGGCTAGTTAAGCCAATAGGACTCCTCCCATATTCCTACGATAATTTTACTATAAGCTGTGTCTTGAGTTCCGAGATCTCTGCTCAGGAGACTTTGTGGCTCGTTTAATCCGGGCCGCGAGGACCTTTGTTTCCCTGGACATATATATCTGTTGACTAGTAACTGCTAGAAGTCTTCAAACACAACTGGGTCTGCATACCACATTGCGAAAGAAGGTCCTATCAGCTAGGTACATGAAGCATGGACGAATTTACGCCTATAGGCGCCTTTAAGTGACGAATGCCGGTAATATTGGTTCACGATTTGAGCGATCCAAGACATCTCGGTGAATAACTTCAGGAATATTCCAGCATCTGAGCTTATTTTGAGGCGAATGGGTCCTCTGGACAATCGATTCTATCCACCGATCAGATGACAGCGCGTGAGGCGGTACGTGATCAAAGAACACCAATCCACCTGATCGAGGCTGTAGACACCGGGTGTCGGACAAGTTTGCCACGTACGCGTAACTTACCACCAACTCTTCAAAAACCGACTGCAACGTAGAGCTAGAGTCATCTCAGACCGCCGGTTGGGGTCAATATCGCCTTGCAGCCATGGGTAAACTTCGGGAATCGGGATTATGCCCAAAAGTCCGTTTCTTCTAGTATCCATTCCAATGCATTGTTGATTGCCATATCATTGACACTTGAGGTTAGAACTTTTGCAGAGCTTATCCGTGACCTCTAGATCTGATCTACAGACTAGAGTTCTCGATAAGGGCTATAACTGGGAAGGTCCTCACTAGGCCTCAGCCCCACTTTGGGGTTATTGAAAACATTCGATGGCATGATATGATTCATACCATTGATATGCCTGTGATTTGGCGGTGTTAGACTATCTATTCTCTTTTCCGACTCCAATCTTATGTGCTCAGCAGGTTTGGTGAACTACTCGGTCTGAGGAATATTAATCCGTCACGAGACGAGATCAGTTTGATACCATCTTGCATTATCTCATCTTATTTGGACATAGCTCACAAGGTAGACGATTCTGCTCTCCGGCGAGCGTGGCTATGTGCATATAGCTAGCTATAATAATTAGTATCCCCGTAGGATTCGGTCTAGATTCTCTCAGTTGTAGGAATAAGAATCGGAAGGCTAGAGGATAATAATCCATATGGGGAAGTGCCTGCACAGAGCCACTCGTTGCAAACAACCCTGGCTTTAGACCGTTGTAGTTCCTGTGGAAGAGCTATTTGCTCAAAATAGGTACAGATTAATTAAGCTCGGTCCCGAGTTCGGGTATATATTTATAAAGAAGGCCCAAGCTCCAATAGCTCGGGTTATGTGTATTAATAGAGTTCGATCAATGGTCAAAGCTCAAGCTGTAGCTAGGTTTCTAACTGCTCCGACGTAAGTAGTCAGCCCTGGGTTGATATATTTGCGTATCTTGGGTTGAGAAATTTCTAGATGAGCGTAACTATTGATATAGACATCCACAGTTAGGAGGAAGTTTTGTATTAGTCCCTTCTAAAATAACGCGTGCGGTCGTCTAAGAGATCAAGTATAATAGCGACGAAAGCAACAAAGCGCAGGGTATGGAAAGTCAAGGCCTGCTATGTTTAGTACGCGAATCATCTTGGAAAGGATGTGAATCTCACTGAGCATATACATAGGGACCAAAAGATAGAATATACACACAAATATATTGCACTAACCGTGTAGGAGTCAAAATACAATCTCTTCATAAGGGTAGGTCGGGACCAAAATATGGTACCATTTTACAGCCGTTAGTACCTATGAAGTCCAATGAGGACCCCAAACGCCTACCCTTATAGGGAGGTGCACTGTAGTGTTTTTCATCGTTGCTATAGCATTAGCCGAGTGAGATTATATGAACCTCAAAACCACTCCCAATTTTGTGCACATTAGCGGAGGTCTGACGCAGGAGATACATACACATATGCATTATATAGCATGTGAAAAGTTCAGAAATGGGCTAAAATCGGATCTCTGGCCTGAGTTGATGTGAGTGATAGAGTTCTTTTTTTAATTGTTTTGATTAGACTCGGTAACAACAAGTCGCTTCGTTAGCTCAGTGGTAGAGCGTGTGGCTTTTAAGGGATTTAGAAATTTATCCCTGAAGAACACCTCAATGTCGCGGGTTCGACCCCCGCACGAAGCTCTCATTTTGTCCAGTCGTTGGCTCAAGCACCGGACGCGCATATCAGTTTTTAGCCATCATGTAGTTTTCGAAACTTCAGTGGGGTTCAAGTTGATATACTTACGTTTTTCAGTTAATTGAAATTTTCAAGAGACTAGATATTACTAAATCTTTAACAATATTTTCAGTCGCGGATAGGGCTGGGTGGATTCATGGAAGGACGTTTAGGTAAAGGTTTTTGCAAACAAATATCCCTTGGCATTCTCACAGTCCAATGGGACTTCAATGATTATATTGCTACTGCACTGGTGTCTTACTTCTAATTTCTTTAGAGCAAGTGAGAATTGAGTAAAAGGGGGTAGCCGCGAGAAATGATCGATATTTCATGTTAAAGGGCATCACCCTATATTCGCAAGGGAAAATGTGTAATCGCAGATAAGAGAGCCCTTATCCCGTAAAATTTCCACCAATAATGCCCCTTGTCAAGTCAACTGAGTCCCAATCTGTTTCTGATATGCTCGATACCTTTATGATGAAAGTTGTAGTACCTTCACTTCCAGTTTTCCGTTGTATACGCCCTACTATCCTTACCATCTTTCCTTTTCTAGGATCCCCCAGAAAGACAGCCATGTTTTCCTCCCAGATTTGGTACTCTGTTGCTAGTTCGTAAAGCCGTTCAAAAAGGGCGGTTTCTCGTGGAAGATATCAATGAACTGAAAATTTTGTCGAAGATCAATCCGCTCACTGAAGCCGACCCTAGCTGTTACATATTGTTTCTTTCTGAGCACACGCAACTTCTCCAAACACACATGTATATGATCATCAGGGTAGAGGCTCATGTACCGTAGAGTTCCACTAAAACATCGCCTGTGAAGTTTCCATTTGCAATCATCCTTCCAACTTTCAGAGCTTCACCAACACGAAAACATGTTTTTATACTTAATCTAGCACTTATTCCCGGTACCAATGGTTCTTCGGGGACCATTGGAAGAAACGCTGGCCTTATAAGGGGGTTAAGGTTCCCTTCTTCATCATACCTGGGCCTAACAGGAGGCGGCTTGGAGAAACCAATATAGTCAGATATTTTCAGCTGCGAAGAGTCCACTACACGGATCTTTCTCTTCTTCGGAGGCTTTCGCTCCTGCGTAGCCTTTCCCGACTTGGTTTTCCTTCGGGCCTTTCTTTTTTTGCTCATATATAGTGTACTTTCCTCACTGTCATCCTCATCATCACCTTCTTCTAAATTCTCTTTCTCTCAATCTCTTTCTCTATCTCCACCACATCCACATCCGTATTTTCATCGCCTTTCCCCTCGGTCCTCCTTTCGTTTTCAGGCCCAACCGCACCAACCGCACCACCCGGTACCTCTTCATTATCTTCACAAGAAATCGTATTCGCCCCGGATAAAAGTTCGTCAATATCACTGATATCACCTAATATATCTAAATTTTCACAAGATTCCCTCATCTCGGTCTTGCTGGCACAGGCATCGCTGGTAGTATCTTGAAAATATTTACTTACTTCCACAAAATTCTCCGGCGGCGTAGATCTAAGTAAGTCTAGGTCAGATACCCCTTGATCCTGTGAATAATCATTAAGGGTAGATTTGACGTCTGAAGGGGTAGAGGAATTTTCAATAACAATCCCAGGTTCGGGGCTCCTTGGAAGCTCCTCTGGTGGGCAGATATGTGACACATGAAAATTCTTGTTAGCGGCAGATAAAGGTTGATTTTGACCCTGGAATATATCATTTGTAGATGGTTTTTTTTCCCGAGTGGCTGGGTTATGGGTTGTGATTGGAAGTAAATGGAGTTGGAGGAATTCCTCCCTAGATGCATTTCGGATAGTTTCATTCTCGTTATCAGCTTGATTTTCTGTCGTGGGGTAGTCATCGAAAACAGAGGCACCATCCATATCCGAATCACTATCCCACCTATTTTTGGCCAACTCTGATGTGGTATGTTTTTCTAAGTAAGTTATAACTTCCAACATTTCGTCTTCATCAATATCTCTAAATTCTTCGTCCCATACAGTTTTCACACGGTTATTCATAATCCGGGCATCATTATTCGGGCATGTATGAGAGCCTTGATGTATATCCAACATAGGCCGGCATAGCTCAAACAAGCCACTATCAGATCCATAATCCGAAGATACCTCCGAGTCTAGCCCACCCAGAAAGAGAGGTAATTTGTCATCTTCTTTAGTATAGTTTTGGTTATCGGTGTAAACACCTTTGAGTTCCGCTTTGGGCTCTGCTTTGAGCAGAAGATCCGAGACGAAATTCGGATTATGAAGCTTACTTTCAACTTTTAAGTTATCGCTCTCATTCACAGAGCTAGTTACTTGAGGCCTAAATTTGAATTTATCTAGCGCCTTCCGGGATGACTCGCTCACATAGTTCCGGTTATCAACCTTTATGTCAACTGTCTCACGCCGTACAGTAATGTGACCAAGTTCTTCTATTTGATCTTGTGCCAATAGGGGATCATTAGATCTATTTTCATAAACCTGATATGTTTGGGACAAGGAGGACGTGGCAAGGATCACTCATGATAAGCTTGTTCCGTTTTCTTTCTGTTCCATTAAGAGACGGGTAGTAAAGGCGGGTGGCATTGGATTTGGGACTTCTGTATTTGCAGATTGGGAGCCCCTGGCAGTATCCTTGAGACTCTTGTAAGAGTAAACACATCCTGGATCTTGAAGTGATATGGATATATGGTTCAGCGTGGTATCCTCATCATCTCTGCCGAAACATATCAGTAGGAATCCCTAAAGTTATTAATTCAATAGAGGCTTGGTTTATACCCAATTTCTTCATAGCCTGCAGGAATTTCTTTTGAAGAATAAAAGCCATTTGAATTTTGTGATTTTCTAGTTCGAGGAGGCTGTTGACAGGTGACGCTGAGATTCTCCTGTAGATGAAGGGATATTATTGGACAGGTAATGAGGGAGATCACTCTGTAGAGAAATAATGATGGGTGCTTGCTTATATGATATGGCCGGTTCTATTTTGGGTGTGGTCCGTAGATGAGCCGCTCATACAGAAACCTGGAGTGATGAATGGGAAACATAAATCGGAAAAGACGCAGTCATGGGTTGAAGGAATAATGGAATTGGAAGGATATTTTCAACAGGATCAGAATAGGTTGGTTCTGTCGAAAAATTATAATGTGAAGTACTGATTAGGCCGGAAGAAGACGTCATTATCTTACTTGTATATGGGTGTCGTTCTAGGAAAACCGTCCGCACAGCCAAATCCTTATTTCGACGAACCAAACAACCGATAAACTCCAGGTTTTCATAAAGCTCAGAGGACCTTGGTGAGAGCCCAGAATTAATTTTTCTGACATTTGTTCCATAAATTGGAGCCTGTAGAGTGCGGTAGCGAGCTGGTGAGGCCTTGCTGCGTTGCCACACAGGTACCTTTTCCTAGAACGACACTTATATACTAACTGACAATTTGAGTACATGTATGTATACATGATGCACCGTACCAAAAAAGCGGGTGGATCCAGTGCCGCACTTGGTAGAATACTACAAGACTACGGTATTTCTACGGTATAATAGTTAGGATTCCGAAGTTTTGCACAATTCCGTATTGAATATTAGAGGCCCGTGACGAACCCGGGAGCTCCAAACTGAGTTACTGACGACAGTTTCAAACTGGTTAGGGACTGGCTTGAGGGAAGCTGGGTGTCATGGTCATGAACTACATAGTCAGTAGTGGGGGATGGGTTGGGGAATTTTGGGTAATTTGCAGTTAGAAATTGGGATAGCCCTCAGGGTTAGTTCATCCTGCTCTTTATGACATGAACACTCGAGCCCTGAGTTCGTCATGGGCTCCTAATGTACAGTGCCAATACAGGCATATTACATCACCTCTCTTGGCACCGTAGTAATGGATTCTGTTCTCTGGCTGATGCCACCGGCATTGTGTATGCTGTATATGTACAGTACAAAAATAATTAATGGGGTGGGATCACTTTCCAAAATACCAATTTATGGCGGCATTTTGGAGAATTATATACCAATTAGTGCCTTCCGGTACAGCAGATAAGGACCAGTTCAGCTTTTTTTGAGCTTAGCCTTGCCTTGATGGTACGTACATCTCCTATTGGCACTAGCAGCACATCACCATCGCCATCATCATTAGGTCTGCACCGGGTTGCAATTGTTATTATGATCGCCTGAGAGGATTGCATGAGGGGATTGCTTGAGGAGATTATTCCCCTTTCGCATGGGACGTTGTGCCTGGATCAGGAAATCTTAATTTTTAAAACTATATCCAGTTCTGGAACGCCTATTATCAGAGAATGAACCACCAGTATCTATTGGTAGATTAATATCTGGCGATGTTGATAGTTGAGATGCTTCAATCTTAAAATGCGGAATTGAGTTAGGGAACGAAAGGTTTAAGCATTTCCCATACCCCGCAGTTCTATTGGAGTGCTGATGTAGTGAGGAAAGTTCTGGAATAGGTGTCCCGACCACTACCGTATTCTTACCGTATTCTTACCGTATTTGCTCAATTGTGGTATTCTTAAAAATTGTGCATTTCTCACCACTTAGTGTTTACACTAGTGCTATAGCAGTACCGTAATTGCTGTAGGAATACCGTATTATGCATCCTACCGTAGTGATCCCACCCCCTTTTTTCGTACTGTATGTACGCGGACCAGGAATTTGGAGAACCTACTCCTAAATCGTGATCGCAGGACGTCCGGGTTCAAAAAAAACCATAAAACTTTAGATTGCTACATATACAATTGATGTCATGTATCACAAAGAATTAATGTCTTTGCCTGTGTTACATAAGTACATGTATGTACATGTATTTTTGTACGACTTCAGTTGGTCCGTGCACCGCCTCAAAACGCCGATAAACATAGCCACGTGACAAGGCACAGTCCCTATTTCCGGAAGTGGGGTCATTAGATAACAGGGTCTCTGAATTAACAAGACTCGATGAACAGTGATGATTGCCTACCTTGGAAGACGGAGAGATAAATAAATCTAAG